AAAAAAAAAATAAACAGGCCAATTAAAAAATGGGCAAAGGATTTGAATAGACATTTCTCCGAAGAAAGATATACAAATGGCCAATAAGCTCACAAAAAGACGCTGGACATCACTAATCATTAGGGAAATGCAAATCGAGACCACAATGAGGTATCACTTCGCATCCATTAGGATGACTACTAGCGATAGCGAAAGGAAAGTCACAGATGTTGGCAAGGATGTGGAGAAACTGGAAGCCTTGTGCCTTGCTGGTGAGAATGTAACATGGTGCAGCCGGCATGGGAAACAGTACGGTGGTTCCTCAAAACAATGAAACACTGAATTACCGTATGACCCAGCAACTCCACGGCAGGGCGTATACCCAAAAGAATTAACACGGAGTCTCGAAGAAGTATCTGTACACCTGTGTTCACAGCATTATTCAAAGTAGCTAAACTGTGGAAGCAACCTAAGTGCCCACGGTGGATGAACGGATAAGCAAAATGTGGTCCACTCACACGATGGAATATTATTCAACCATAAAAAAGAATGAAGTCCCCAAACATGCCACAACATGGAAGAACCCTGAGGACGTCATGCTACACGAAATGAGCCAGTCACAGAAAGACAGATGCTGTGTGATCCCACTTACGCGAGTTATGTAACGCAATCAGACTCACGGAGACAAACGAGAACAGTGGGTGCCAGGGGCTGGAGGAGGGGGACGAGGAGTTAGTGTTTAATGGGCACAGTTTCCGTTCTGCAAGGAGAGTTCTGGGGACGGATGGTGGCGACAGCTGCACAACAATATGAAGGTATTTAATTCCACTAAACTGTACATTTAAAAATGGTTAAGATGGTAAATTTTCTTATGTGTATAATTTTTAATAATTGAAAAAACAAAAGCACAGCAGACCAGAGACCCTCTCTCCTTGGCAACACCTGCTAAAATAAAAGGTTGGCCCTAGCGGGCCCTGGGAACCTGATCTCAGGAGGCCCCGGCCGTGCCCGCCTGGGAAGAGGGGCTCGCAGGCCTCGACTGCGCGATACGGCGGGGTAGGCTCCCCACCTGCCTTCCCCTTTCCAGAAAGTCCAGGGTGTCTGCACACACCAGGCGGGTGTGTTGTCACACTTGTTGCTGGGGGAATTGAGCATGTGGTGGGTGGCCCCACTGGAGGATTCTAGAAGCTTCTGCCTGGTTTCCTCTGGGCTTTGCCCTGGTGCCTTTCCCCTTTGCTGATTCTGCGCTGCTGGGATACACCCTGGCTGTGAGCACAGCTACGTGCAGGGGCCTCCTGGCCAATGGGTTAAACAAAATATACTATTAAAGTGTCACCTGTTTCTTTTGACTTATCGTGGCTTCTAGAAAACTCATGGGGCCAGACATGCTCATGTCATTTCCACTGATAGGGCTGCACGGAAGCTTCGGGATGGCAAGTGCCTCAACAGGGAGGCTGGAATCCCGTTTTGAAGGAGAAACTGAACACCCGAGAAGGTGGTGTGCATGGCTGGGGTCACACAGCACACAGCCACGGGGACTCCAATGCCTGGTCACCCAGCACAGGGCCCCAGCTCCCAGTACTCACCTGACAAGCCTCGAGTGGCAGTCTTGGGGACCGAGGGCTTTCTGGACAGGGGTGCTCGGCCTCCCTTGTCACTGGGCTCACTCCGAGCACTCAGCGGTCGGCTGGCCCGGTCCCCACCGGCAAGCCCCTTGGTTTTGGCAGCAGCCACTGGAGTGGCTTTGGGGGCCGCAGCGCCTGAGCTGGGCCGGGCCAGGGGCTTCCACGTGCGACCAGGGTTCTCCGTCTGCCGGGTGGACTTGGGGGGCATCATCTCAGGGTCCACCATGCAGATGCCGGGTGGGTCAGGCAGTGGTGGGGGTACTTTTAGGGGGTCAGGCAGGGGGTCGTGGCCTGGAACTCCGAAGCCCTCTGTGTTGTCATCTGAATCCCCGGCACCAGGGGTAGCGGGCAGGGGGTCCGAGTCAGACAGGGTGGGCAGGGACTCGCTGACAGATGTGGGTGGCGTCTCCTCGGCCCCTGGCCCACCTGCGCGCTCCTGTGACCGGGCACTGCTGTCATTGGAGCTGCCGGGGGACGCAGCTGCCGGCGCCATAGGCACAGCCTTGCGGTGCTCAAACTCACAAGGTGACACCAGGCACAGGTCCACATCGTGTGGGGAGGCTGAGCGCCGGGCCCGGGGGCCGCGCAGAGGGAGGCTCAGCCCAGCCTCGCTCGCGGGGGCAGGTGGCGGCAGCACCTGTTCAAAAGACACGGACAGGGACTCGTCCACCTCCGTGGAGTGCGGGGAGCCCACCTCGGCGGGCAGCGACGGTGTGGTCAGTGTAGGCGTGGTCGCCGTGGGCGAGGCGTCGGGCCCGGCCTCCCCGGCCCGCAGTGGACTGAGGGACAGGCGCCCGCTGCCCTCCGCGGGGCTCTGGCGGGGCTCGGGGGAGGGCGTGCGCCGGGGGGTGCCCACAGCCAGCAGCAGCTCCATCGCCTTCTCCTGCCCGGCCGGGTTCAGCCCCAGCTCCAGGCTGGGCGTGGCCACCAGGGGTGGGGCAGGGGAGCTGCAGGTCGTCGTCCCTGTCGCTGTCGCGGTACTGGCCTCTCCACGGCCCACGCCAGGGGGACTGCGGGGTCCGTTCTCCACAGGCAGGACGCCCGACCTGGCCGCCCTGCGGAGCTTGGGGGCTGCCTGGGCACCCGTCGTCTTGAGGCTGGGGGCAGCAGAGGCCGCCCGGCGCGCCTCCCAGGGCTGGGTCCGGGGGGCACTGGGCTTGGGGTTCTTCTTCACCTCCCGGGACGGCCTGGCTTCTTTCTCAGTCCTGCGCGGGGCCTCAGCCCGGGCGGACTCCTTGCGGGCGCCCCCAGGGCGGTCCTGGCCGGGCCTGGCGGGGGCGGGGGCCCGGCCCTCTCTCTTCAAGCTGTCTCGCGAGCCCACGCTCTCTCTGCTTTCTGCTCGCCGTGGGCCCTCTAGGTCCTGGGGCGTCACCACTGGCTCCCGCAAGAACCCCAAGTGCTGCAGGCGGACCAGGCCATCCAGGAGGCGGGCGGGCGGTGTGCACCCCGGGAACAGCACGCGCACCACCTTCTCGGCGGGGCCCGCGGGGTGCCACACCAGCAGGGCGCACACGGAGGCCGGGGAGCGCTCCGCGCCGGTGGACGGCGGGTGCAGCACATACATGTCCAGCCGGCCCACACCCATCTTCTGGAAGAGCACGGTGGGCTGGGCCGGCGGCGGGCCGCGGCTCAGAGACAGGGGTGTGATGCCCAGCTGGCTCAGGAGGCTCAGTGCCAGCTCCGCCTCGTCCTCGCCACGCACCAGGCGCACGGCAGCCTCCCGGGCGTTGAGGAACACGACCCCTAGGTTGGGGGAGATGAGCCTGCGCAGCCGGTCGTTCCAGGAGCCCCCGCCGGCTGCCACCTCCTGGCGCTCTGCCAGCTTGCGCCGCAGTAAGCTGTTGAGGCCAGGCAGGCTGTCGGCACCAGCGTGGGTCACCAAAACCGCATCCACCCGGTCCAGGTGCCGCACCAGTTTCCAGAAGCTGGACTTGGGGTTCGAGCCACCGTTGACGAGCATCGTGAAGCCATTGACAGCAAAGAAGGCGGCGTCCCCGAGGCCACCAGGGAAGATGTAGCAGCACGGCTGGGCCAGCCTGAGGAAGCCCCCGGAGGACGGAGGCTCCAGCAGCTCGAAGGGGGACGGCGGCTCCAGAGACTCCGCCACGTACTCCAGGAACTCGCGCAGTCCCTCGGAGGCCGGCAGCTGCGCCCGCGGGTTCAGCCGCAGTTGCAGCCGGAGCGCGCCCTGCAGGCCGGGCAGGTCGGGCGCCAGCTGGGCCCAGTCTCCGAAGGTCGGGCAGGTGATGGTGAGTGCGGGCAGGCGTGCAGGCGGGGGCGTGGAGGCTAGGATGTTCTGGATCTGCAGGTGGGAGGGAGGGGTGAGGGGCCAGCCAGAGCCAGGCAACACCCAGCCCCTTGGGAAAACTGGGTGAGGACACCCTGTCCTGCCTCCTGGAGCTGGGAGGGCCCCTGCCTGCTCCTTACCACGCTCCAGCAAAACCCAGCCTCCCCGGGCCATGAGGCCCCATGGTCTGGCCTATCTCCTGCCTCTCTTTCCCTCCCCCTCAAACACCTCCCTGCCCCAGGACCTTTGTACTTGCTGTTCTTGCCTTCTGGGGCACAGCTCCCTCCAAGGAGACCTTCCATGCTCCCCTCTGCCTACTGCACATTTTCTCATCACTACGATGTGAAAATGTGATCTGCCAGGGGTTTTGGCTCATTTGCCCCACCCAGACGGAGGGCTCCAGAAGGACCCACTTGGATCCATCCCAGCTGGGACCTGGAATCTGGGGCACCACATCAGGCCTCTGGGACATGGGCTGACCTACAGGCCCCGCTCACACCATGCCCTGTGGCGGACGACAGGACCGAGCCCTGACAGCCAGGAGGCACGGGCGTCACCACTGCCATCCTGCAGAGGAGGAGATGGGGTCGGGGAGGACAGCAGGGCACGGGGGCTGGACAGGCACGAGCCGGGATCCAGAGCAGGCGCAGGGAGGATGGCATGGGGGCAGCTCACCTCTCTGTCCCCCAGGACCTGGAGGAAGTGGTGGGGTGAGAAGCCCCCTGTCTGCAGCAGCAGCTCCCCTGTCCCTTCCAGGCAGGGCCCGGCCAGCACCAGCAGCTTGTGAGGGGCGGGGTCCAACAGAAGGTTCCGGAGCTGGGGGCGGGGCAAGCATTAAAGGGCCCATTCTGTGCAGCAATGTATCTAGCAGTCCTCTTTGGGGAACCCCCAGCCCCAAACTACACACAACCACCCACCCTCTGGCCCTACCCCAAGGCCAGCCCAGTGCTCAACTAGCTAGGAAAGGCCGCCTGTGCCAGTCCCACTGCGCCCCACCCCCAACCCCTGCGGCATCTCCACGGGCTCATGCCCAGCTCTGACACCCCCTCCTCCTGAGAGCCCTCCTTGCCCCTCCCGGGCTCTCTCAAGCCCGCCTCGCCCTCCAGTCCAGCTGGGGATTATGTGTCCAGCTCTGTCTCCTATAGACGGAGAGCTCCTTGAGAGAGCAAAAGGGAACGTTTTTGATCAAAGGAATCAACCTGTAAGAGGGTCTCTAGTGGGGTGTCCCAGTGCTTTTTTTTGGAGACAAGGGTCTCTGGCTCTGTTGCCTAGGCTGGAGTGCAGTGGCATCATCAGAGCTCACTGCAACCTCAAACTCCTGGCTCAGCCTCCTGAGTAGCTAGGACTATAGGTGCACACCACCGCATCTGGCTAATTTTTTATTTTTTGCAGAGATGGGATCTTGCTATGTTGCCCAGGCTGGACTCCAACTCCTGGGCTCAAGCGATCCTCCTCCAGTCTCGGCTTCCCAAAGTGCCAGCATTACAGGCGAGAGCCACCGTGCCCGGCCTTGTTCATCTTTTTAATATATAATTGAGAGAAGGATACAGATGCCCACAAGCCAATTAATAAGTCAACTCACACGAGTACTGTGGCCTAGCTGAAGGGAACTCACAGGACACAAACATCAGTCAGGCCCTGCCTCCCACCTCTAGAACTCTGTTCTCCCCGGCCCGTGCGGTGAGTGCTCCCCCCACCTCTCCCCCTCCCCAACGCCAGCCTTTCCTGCTCCTGGCTTCGGTGCTGGGTGTCTCAGGAGAGGGCTTTAGGTGGTATGAAGATGGGGACATGAGATGAGGACAGGGATGATACCAGTCCCCACAGCCTCTCCCTCTGGGACGCCAATTGTCCCTACCTCGTCACACAGGGACTTGTCTGATGGGTTCAGGAGGACCAGGGTCTCCAGGGCCTCTCCGCGGTGATGCAGACTCCGCTGGCCTGTGGGGGGTCAGACCGGGCCGCTCATGTGGGGCCACACTGCCCTGGAGCCAAACCCTGCTCCCTGCGTGACCCGCAAGTGACACAAACTCCTCTGGGAACCCCCCCTGGGTCATACGAGCGTTAACAAGCACGCGGTAGAGCTGCGGGTCAGGAAGAGGCAAGAACAGAACACCCCAACCCGACCCAGCAGGCCTCACACCGGAAATGGCGGTAACAAGAGGCCCCACCGTGAGCCGGGCTTCACTGCAGCTGGCAGCCCCACGGCGAAGCCATCGTCACTGCCATCTCATAGACAAGGAGCCCAGAGCCGGGGGTGGGATGGGGAGGGGTGTCAATGAGGGCACACCCGGAAGAATAGACGACCTGGGCAAAGGCCCAGAGGCAGGACAGGTGGGGCAGGGCGCGGGACCGGTCGCTTTTGGAACCCTAACCCAGCCTGTCTCTCAGAACGCACACGTGTTTTAAACACAAAGCCCCAGCCTCTGTGGCTGGAGGGGCGATGACCCCCTAGCGCTGGTCAACCTTTGTCGTGTTTGTCATGCTTCTTATCACACAGATATTGCCCCGTTCTGCTGGGGAAACCAAGGCAGAGAGGGGAAGTGGCCGCAGAGGTCACATAGAGCAGACAGGATTTCCAGCCCCCCTCCCTGCCCCAGGAGAGGTCAGGAAGCCACCAGGACCTGCTGGGACAATGAGGACGGACACTTCCTTCCCCTCCGCTCCAGCAGCAGCTAGGAGGTGACTCCACGGGCTGAAGGGAAGCAGGAGCAGGGAGAGTTGCAGGCAACACCCGAGCCCTGCTCACCAAGTGCCCTGTTCGCTCTGGGTCACCCCAGGATCCCCAGGGAGCTTCGCGCAGAGTGGAGCCCTTCTTGATTTCATTCCTTCTCAGTTCTCCATCTACTGAGTGCCTACTGTGTACCCACCATGTGCAGCGGTCACAGCCGTGAAGCAGATTAGGTCCCCGCCTACATGGGGCCCACATGCCATCTTCCAGCCCAGCTCAGTGACCCCCCACCCCAGCTTCCAGATGTTCTGTCTCACTGCTGGGGCCCTTCCCTCCACCTGATACTCCCACCCCAGCAGTTTCTCATCCAAAAAGCCACCTCCTTGGAGGACTCCCCGCCCCTTCGACACCAAGGTCTCCTCACCTGTAAATCAGGGACAAAAACACTAGTTCCTGCCTGTGGGCTGTTGAGGACCAAAGGAGTTATCACTGGGTCAGGGCTCGCTCCTGCTCAGCACTCAGAAGGTCCTGGCTGTATTATTACTGTAGTAATGATACCCCCTCCCAACGCCCGACACACAGCTGGCACTTTGGGAGCACTTGCCCAATGAACACGCAGAAGGGAAGCAGCCAGGGCACATGGGGACACCAGGCTCACCTTTCACGATGCTGGAGAAGGTGGCCGAGTGCCGGGACACAAAGACCTTGAGCTGTTCATCGAGGCTGCAGACGCCAGGATCAACATCCCAGGACCGGACACCTGGTGGGAGGGGGCAGTTCAGCTGGGCCCCCCAGGTACCAAAATATTTCAATAACTAGCACTAAGTGGGCGAGGGCCACCCCAGCCCCCTCCCGCCCGTTCTCATTCGCTGCAGCCTAGAGACTCGGAACCACCCAACACCCACAGGTCTTGCCGCAGCTGGTTCAAGGAACTCATGGCACGTGCAAGTATTTTACAGACCAAACTCAGGACATCAGCAACAGAGCCGGCACCTCTCCCATCTCCCCCTCCTCGCTGCTCCTGCCGGGCACGTCTCCACTCTCTGCGCCTGGAGGCCTGGCCCCTGCCTCCCCACCTGTTCCCTCTGCCCAGAGGCCCTTCCCCCTGTGTCCCCACCCTTCAGGTGCTAAGACCAGCTGTCCCCTCAGCTCTTTGCATCCTAACACCATGTGAGCCTAAAACTTGTTCAATCTCCTCGCTCACTTTGGGCCCATCCCCCCACCAGACCATGAGGCCCTTGAGGGCAGGAAGGCCTAGTGCACAGCGGGTGCTCAGGGAACAGTCCCCAAGCACAAGAACCGAGATGAGTGCTGCTGTCCCATTATTACATACAACGTTACAAGAGATGCGGAATAACCATCTTCCACACCCAGGGGTGTATCACGCCTGCCAGTCCCACCGTGCCAAGTGGCTGCAGGTGAACCTAACAGGTGCACCCATGACTCACCCACCTCCCTCGGTGCCAAATCCCAGGGGCAGGCTGCACCCGCCCACACCCCAATTAGCAGCTCCTCGTGCAGCAACAGAAAGTGGGCCCCGGGGCTCCAGGCCTGCCTTCCCCGTATCTGCTCCTCTCCCCAGGACGTCCAGGCTGCTTAGACCCGGGGATCCAAGGCGACGCTCCCCTCCCCCGCGGGCGGGTCTGTCCGGCGGGAAGCGGATCCCAAAGCCCGTATCCCCTCCCGGGTGTGCACCCAGAGCCGGGGCGGGGCAGCCCAGTCCAGGCCCGATGCCGTTTCCTCCGCGGGCGCCATCCCGCCTTTGCCGGCACCGTGAGCCTAACGGTGAGGGAGGCCGGGCCCCGGCCCGCCAACGCCCCGGACCCCGGATCCCGGGCCCCTCCGCCCCACGCCCGAACCCCGGGCCGAGACGCGCGGCCTCCCGGGCGCCCGCACCCCCGGGCCGGCCCGACCTCGTTCGAGCTCCTCCAGGACGTAGGCGAGGAGCCCGGGGCACCCGCACTCGCCGCCCACCACGAGCAGCAGCGAGCTCGGCGGCGCCACCGCCGCCGCCGCCGCCATCTTCGCACCGCCCTGCCCCAGAAGGCCCTGCCCTTGGCCCCGCCCCTTAAAGGGGCCGTACCGGAAGTGCTGAAGACCCCGCCCGGAAGCCCCTCCTCGTCCCTTTGTCGGGCCCCCTCCAAGCCCATCGAGGACGTGGAGAGCACGAGGTGGGGGCGCCAAAGCTGTGGGTGGGCGCCCGGGTCTAAACTTCCGGCCACCCCTGCCAAATGACCATCCATCCATCCATTCATTCATTCATTCAGCAAGCTTTGAGCGCGTGCCTACCACGTGTCAGTGAGAATCCCGGCTCTGGGAGAACTCACATCACGTGGCAGTGGGCCCAGTCGAACCCAGGGGCAGATGGCTAGTCCAGCTCTCCAGGTCAGGGCTTGAACAAAGAAAAGAAATGTATCTTGAAGGTAGGGCTTTGAAGAACGTGTAAGAGTTTGCCAGATGTGGGTGGTTGGGCAAGAGCACCTGAGGCAGCAGTTACAGTGAGGCAGAAGTTACAGCACGTGCAGAGTTTTAGAGGTGAGGAAGTACATGTGTGTTTGGGACCCATCAGAAGCACTCGTTCTGGGGCAGGGTAACGCACATGCTGCACCTACTGTGTGCCAGGCATTTTACTCCATTAGCTCATTGAATACATGCACAGAGCTATGAGGTAGGCACTGTTGTTATGGCTATTTCAGAGGAAAGGCGAGGAAACTGGGATTTAGAGGGATGAAGTCGCCAGGCCTGTAAGTAAATGGTAGAGCAGATTCGACCCCAAGTGGGTCTGCCTGTGTGGTTCTACCCCTTTCTCCCCCAGACAATCTCCTTCACCCCTTGTACCTATAGCAGCCACTACTTGACAAATCATCTTGCATTGAACTTTTGGACAGTCATCCATACCAGGGGAGGACTGAGCTGTCTTCCTCAGGAGTGAGCTGTCTGTCTCCAGAAGTATGCAAAGCAAATCAGGACAGCAATAGGAGAGGTCTGGGAAGCAGGATCAGCCTCCCACTGCCGTTCATTATCTGGGTTGTTCAGCCCCACTTCCTCTCTGGCCAGTGTGCAACAGCTGCTGGCCACGTGCCGTCTGCTCCACTTCCGCTCTCTCTTTTTGGCCATGACATCCTTCCTCTGTCCTGGTCCCTCTCCCTGGCTCCCTTCCCTGAGCCCCGACTGCCTGTGATTTCCTCTGTTGTTGCTCTGAGCGATCATGGGGGTGCGAGCGTGTGTGTTGGGCTCTGTCTGTCCCTGGCTCGTGCGGGACAAGGCTGAGAAGGGCGTGACCCAGACTCTCGGAATGGGCATGAAAGGCCTGTTTACCGCCATTCATTCGTTCGCTTACTCCTTCACGCGCACTTACTGATTGGCCCAGGATTCGAGCTTCTCACTGAATTCCACCCTCTCCTGTCCACAGCTGTGAGTTATAATTGGTGTTAATTCTAGTTGGTCTTAAAGGGCCTGAGGTGCCAAGATGTGTCTCCACCGTGGGGGTCTGATTTGGGGGGAAGGTCCCCCCCTGGGCTTTGGGAGCTAATGTCCTGAGTATTCTGGAGCCCTGAGCTCTTCCTGTCCCAAAGTGTCCCCCAGGCTGAGGACCCTGGTGTGGGGAGCATTTCGCCAGAGATTGAGAAGCATCTGGGGACCATCTCTGAAATCCCAGGCATGGGACTGGTCTTTGTCCACGCCCAGCTTCGTGCCTGTTTCCAGGTCCCCAGTCCCTGGAGGGGTCAGGTGATGGCATCTGTGGAGACAGTGGAACCCGAGGCCCTCAGGACTGTCAGAGGCTCTCATCTTCTTCCCCTGGCAATTCTTTTCTCTTTAACATTTTTGCTGAGGTTTGACATAGACATGGTCAAATTCGTGCATGTCAAGAGTGGAGCTTAGTAACACTGACAGCCCTCAGGTCAAGATCTAGTACATCATCAGACTCTGGTGGTTCCTGTGACCCTCTGGTTGATTTTCCCCTCCCCCAAGGTGACCGCTGCCCCGGCCTCCATCACTGCAGGGGAGTTTTCGCTGGTTTTGAACTTCACCTACACAGATCTGGATCCGGCCTATGTTGTGTCGAGGGCAGGCGCATATTCCCTTTCATGGCTGTGTAGTATTCCACACTGCCAAATTTTTGTTGTTCTTTTTTATTATGGTAAAATACACATAACATAAAATTTACCGTTTCAACCATTTTAAGTGTACAATGCAGTGACATTGAGAGCATTCACGATATTGTGCCATCCTCACTAACACCTGGCTCCAGAATGCTTTCATCCTCTTAGAGAGAGACCCCACGCCCATCAGCGCTCACTCATGCCCGTTTGCCCTTCCTCCAGCCCCTGGCAACCACTAGCCCACTTTTCTGTCCCTAAGGATTTGCCCATTCTGGCCCTTCCGTACAGTGTGTGACCTTCTGTGTCTGGCCTCTTCCCCGCAGCAGGACGCTTTCAAGGCGCATCCCCGTTGTAACGCGGAGCAGTGCTTCGTGCCTTTCGTGGCTGAGCGATATTCCGTTGCATGGCGGGGCCACATTTGGCTTCTCCATTCATCTGTTGACGGATGCTTGGGTTGTTTCCACCTTTCGTGATTGTTGGCTACTCTGAGTCCACAGTTTGGTTATTTTTAGCTATGAAAAAGTGTGTACAAATTTTTGTTTGAGCCAGGCACAGTGGCTCACACCTGTAACCTTAACACTTTGGAAGGCTGAGGCAGGAGGATCGCTTGAGCCCAGGAGTCGGAGGTTGCTGTGAGCTATAATCACACCACCGCACTCTAGCCCAGGTGACAGAGCGAGACCCTGTCTCAAAAAAAAATAAAAAATTGTTTTTGTTTGAACACCTGTTTTCAGTTCTCTTGGTATATACCTAGGAGTAGAATTGCTGGGTCACATGGCAATTCCATGTTTAGCTTTTTCAGGAGCGGTTAGACTATTTCTCACAGCAGCTGCACCATGCTACTCCGCCGCCAGCAGCGCATGAGAGTTCCAATATCCCTACATCCTCGCCGACACTTGGGTGGGTTTTTTTTCCCATTAAAAAAATTATAACCACCGGGTACCAATTTTTCACTATTTATCCGTTCTCCCGTTGATATGCATTTGGGTGGTTTGCAGGTTGGACTATCGTGGAAAAAGCAGCTCTGAGCCTTTTGTTCAATGTCCCCCTTTCTCCCCAATGAGGCCCGGGATGGAATGGCTGGGTAAGAAATGGCCAGGCTGTTGCTCAAGCGGCCCATGAGGGAGGCCATGTCACCTCATGTCCTCAACACTCGGGCTGTCAGATTTTTAACACATCTGCCCTTCTGGCCTCCCCCTCTGCCCCCTGCCTCATCGCCTTTGTTTATTAACATTCACTAAGCGACACTTCTGTTCTGGGTGCTGGGGAGAGGACCAAAGTCGCTGGTCCCGGGTGTGAATCAGTCCTGGTCTGGGCTGTGAGGGAGCCTGAGGTCACAAGATTTGTGTGTTAGTTCATTTCATCTTTGCAGCAGCCTGGGGCACAGGCTCTGAGTTAACCCATTTAGCGGATGGGAAAGTGAGCTTCAGAGAGGGCGAGGGACGGATTCAGCGACTGGCGCATCAGCTGCGATTTCCCCCGGTTCACCCAGCATCTGACTCCAGGCCCTGCAACAGGTTCATTCGTTCATTCATTCATTCATTCAACTTTCCTGACAACTTTCCTGTGCTGGGTGCTGCTGGAGTACCCAGATGGCCTCAGTCCTGGTCCCCAAGGAGACATCATTCTGGAGGACGATGAGCTGGACACAGATGTCCCCCAGCTCTGTGAAGTCAGGGCTGGGCTAGAGGATGAAGCCAAGAGCTGGGGAAGTGGGGAGTATCCCTGGGGAGACAGGGAAAATATCCTGAAAAAGGGACATTGGAATTGGGTTTTTGAAGAGTGCATAGGAGTCTGCCAGGCAAATGATGCATTCATTAATTCAACAAACACCTCCCCACCCCCAGCCTGGCCCCAGGGATCCTCCAGGCTCAGGGATACAGACACCCCAAGAGATCACAGATGTGCCAGAAGCAGAGGTGGAGGCAGGAATCACCCTGGGTAGAGGAGCACAGGGGTTCCCAAGGGGACCAGCAGGGGTATCTTGGGAGGAGGGTGTGGTTCCAGTTGATTTGCCCAGAGCAGGAGATGGTGCTGAATGTTTTTGATTTGAAACACATGGCTTGGGTTAAATCAGGTCGAGACAACCTGATTGTGACTCAGAGAGATACCTGGACCTGCTCTGATCCACCTCCCAGGAGTGGGGCCTCAGTTTCCCCAAGTGGGATATATAAGAGCAAAAACAGGCACAATGCCTACCCCATCCCCATGGGCCTGGCCATGTGATGGAGATGGAGGGGACTTCAATTTTTTTGCCTGTGGCTGGAGGTCCATGCATCCCAGATGAGCAGGGACCTGGGAATAGAACAGGGACATTCCAGCCACACATAAAAGGTTCTAGGAAGACTTCACTGGGGGAAGTAATGCTCAAACCAGGACCTAAGGGAGGAGGAAAAATTCAGCACAAGTATGGGACAGTGGTAGAGGAGCACGGGAAAAGGAAAGAGCATCTCCTGTGGAGGGAGAGCATGTGCAAAGGCCCTGAGGTCAGAACAAGCTGGGTGTGTTTGAAGGCTGCGAGGAGACCGCAGAGTGACAGGGAGACATAGGGAGGTGAGGGCAAGAAGTTCCATGAGTGGCAGGCCATGTGGGGCCTCCTGGGTCATGGGAATGGGTGTGGCTTTTATTCTGAAGGCCATGAGGAACCCTGGAGGGTGTGGGAACAAAGGGAACATGGAAAGTGAACTGTAAAAATGGCTGCAAATCGGTTCCAAGCATTTCCCCAGATTAACGTGGCCAAGATCATACGGACAGCACGTGGCAGACCCAGGATTTGATCCCAGTTTTAAGGGCTGAGCTCTTAAACACGCTATAGTCTCAAAAGGGGAAGGAGAGGCTGGGAGCGGCCTGGCTGGGGTGGGCGTCCACCTGCAAGCAGTTTATTTTGTAAAATCGCCAGGATGCGGTGGGGGGCGGGGGGAACTGCATTC